AGGTTGTTTCTTGAGGAACCTGAAAAGGAAGATGGATTAGTGTTGGTGCGTGACCGCAGAGCCCAAGGGACAACTGCTTGAGGCCGGTCACGCACGGCCTTTTTATGAAATGTTTTTTGAGGATTAGCTCCGTTCTTAAAGGCCCTTAGTGGGCACCCTTACCCAAGGAGACGGAAATCCGTGAGTTAGGGGAGGTGTGACATTTTTAGGGCCGACCTTTTCTAACCCTTCCTTCCTTGTGAGAAGGCAGCATCGCTGCAGATGCTGGTTGTCCGAGGGAAACACCTTACTGCTGTCACACCCCTCTGCAGTCAGCAGTACGACTTCGCCCTCAGACCTTGGGTAGCTGCTTTTAGTCTCATCGTTCTCCAATCGACCTGCCTGGCATGGTAGAACCTTGAGGAACATATGTTGCAGCCAGTATAGCTCGGTTGGGTCATCACGATAGGCAAGCCCGACCACCACGTCAAGGTAGCAGCTACGGTCGGGTCTTGATTAATTAATGTTAACCCAAACTTGGAATACCTATAGCTTCATCTGAAAAAAAGGTTTTGTAAATAGTAAACTTCTGTCAAAAATACCTTGTCGGTTATAACCTTTATTAATAAGCTTCTCCTCTTGAGTGTTGAAAACTTCCTCACCTATAATTCTATTTACAGGATCGTCACTTTAAATGATTAGAACATTTGAAATTGAACCGTTCATTGTTAATTTCTAGTGGCGGTTATTCTATGGGGCTTGATCAACTGACTGAGTTTTCTAGCATTCACGAAGTGCGTATTGCTCAAATCTGGAAATACGGCTTTGCTTGAATGACAAAGTGTAATAAGCACTTTAAAGTGACAGTTTGGTAGAATCTGAGGAGAGACTCTTTCAAAATGCTCTTAAGTGGTAACGTACGCATGAACTTTTTGAGGGAATGCGTGCTTTTCCTTATGAGGCGAGTGTGATAAGAAAGAACAAAGATGGACATGGATGTATAAATTACATAAACCTGTCATCTGCAACGTACAACTTCGTATCTACGTATGTCAGTTCAAGTTGCCATATCACATAAGCACAGAGGGATGGAATTGTCAGTTCAAATCCGATAGTAGCAGAGGTAGTGGATCTATTAGCAGCAATGTAGAAGATTAGATTACAAAGATATGATTCAAGAAGTATGATCCATTAAGGTCATTTTAAAAAGACAAAATTTCATGAGGAATTCAGAAGATTAGAGTTTGAGAGAAGACAAGGAATAAATGCATCCACACCACTGCAAACGATTTTGCTCCATGTCATTTAAAGTCTCTAAATACTTTTTACTATTGCCTCGCGGACCCAAACCAGATAGCTTACACTTACCAGCATGGCTCAGTCCAGTAGTCAGCGACTACATGGAATTGTGCCATGTTTTGGTGTGGTCGCCCGTAGCTTTCAGCCTACCCTACATCATACAATATGACTCATCGTCGTAGTCGGTGGTTAGGCGAACATAACACGTACAAATCACCTCAATTGATGATTCACTACTTGTGTTGATCTGTCATCCCCAACTAGTACCCCTTTTCTACCAGCAGTATTGCTTACTCAGTGGTCCCAGGGTATAAAAACAATACTTCAAAGACGCCGATCAATCAATCAACAGCAACGTAGAACTTCGTACATCAGTTCAAGTTGCCATATCACATTAGGTCGGAGATATAATTGTCAATTCAAATCCCATAGTAGTAGAGTTAGTAAAAGTATTAGAAGTAATCGGAGAGATTAGGGTTCGAAGACATTATTAAAGAAGTAGAATCTAGTGAAATAAACTTGGAAAGAAGAAGAAAAAGTGTTGCGGAATTAAGAAGTTCAGGGTTTGAGAGAACACAAAGAATGAATGCACCTGCGCCATTGCAAACGTTTTTGAGCTGTCATTCAGGGTCTCTAACCATCGATTACTATCATCTCGCGGACCTCAATCAGGTAGTCGACACCTACCAATATGACTCAGTTCACTTGTCAGTGACTTCATGGATTTGTGCCATGTTTTGGTCTGGCCGCCCCTAGGTTTCTTACGACCTACTTCTACACCACCAAACATATCTCGTCGAGTCAGTCGGTGGTCGGGCATTTGTAACACATGTCCTAACCACCTCACCTGATGAAGTTTCACTACTTCATCTATTGATTTGCCATCCTTACCTAGCACCCGTTTCCTAACAACAGCATTGCTTACTCGTATGTCTCAGGATACGAGCAATGCTTCGGAGACACCTATGTTCGAAAACCAGCAACCTACGAATACCTTCTACTCTGACTAGCTATGTTTATCATCCATAGAATAGAACGGAGCGAATTGATGCACAGTAAACTCGTCCTTCGGTTAACCAATAGATTTCTCGCCTGTGCCACAAGTGACGCAAGTTGGCAAAAGCCAATAGAGCCTTCAGTAACCGTGCTGAGATTTGGTCAGTCACCAGGCCATCAGTACTGATGAGACTCTCGAGATAATTGAAGCAGGCCAATACTCTTAACTCCTTCACACCCTATCACTAGTTAATGTGCCGATGCAAGCCAGTCTTGAAGCAACATTTTGTATTTCGAGGAGGAGAATCACATCCCAAACATGCTTCTATTGTTGCTTAGGGTGGTCAGAAGACTGCATTTTGTTAGCGTCTTTGCCAAGTAGAACTACGTTATCGGCGCATTCTAAGTCCAATCCCCGAAAAGCCAGATGATGCAAGTTTCGTATGTAAAAGCACGTCAATGATAAAATAATAAAAGAACAGAGAAAGTGCACAACCCTGACAGACAACACTCGAAGTAATCAATTCCGATGTGAACTATTTGGGTCGATTTCGGAGGTCTCCGTGTCAAAATGTATTTTTCCGTATGCTTAAAGTTAATATTTGCTGGAAATAGGCGATTACCTGAGCACATTTGCTTTAGACGGTTGCCATTATCTGTTCTTTGGGCCGTAACACCATAAGATCCACCCGTGTGTTTCCTTTCCACTTAGTCTAACTACTTGAGCGGGGTGATAAAGTAATGTTCGCAGAGTTAGTCATGGAGATAAGAGAGATGTTAAGAGGTGAGGGAAGGATTTCATTGTGACCAATCTAGTCTTGTGTGCTGTTACAGATATGAGGGCGGATATCATTTCTCGGCTGCCCACAGCTTGAAAAGGTACTTCTTGAGGAACCTGAAGAGAAAATTGGGTTAGCGTTGATCTGAGCGACGTCGGAGTGTGACCGTAGAGATCAACGGACAACTGCTTGAGGATGGTTATGCATGGCCTTAAAATGGGAAGATTTTTAAGTGTTAGCTCCGCTCTTGGAGTGGCCTTACCGCTGGAGACTTAAGTCCCTGGGCTAAGGTGAGGTGTGACACTTTTAGGCTCGACCTTTTCTAATCCTTTTCGTTGTGAGAAGGCAGCATCGCTGCAGATGCTGGTTGTCTGAGGGAAAGACCTGACTTCAGTCACAACCCTCTACATTCAGCACTACCGCTTCATCCTTAGACCTTGATTTGCTGCTTTTAGCCTTACCGTTCTCTAATCGACTTGCCTGGCATGATAAGACCAGAAAGAACAGGTGTTTCAACCAATATAGCTCGTGTGGGCCATCTCGATAAGCAAGCCTAACCACCACATCAAGATAGCAACGGTCGACAAATTCCATCCATCGGTGCTGGAAAACTGATTCTAGATAGTTGGTGCTTGTTGACACCAACAGGCTCATTAGTTCTGATATTGCGCGCTGTAGAAATTTCTGCTTTTCTGCATAGCTCTAATTTACTGTATATGATATCTATTTTGGTCCAAATCTTTGATAAGCCGAAAGTTTGTAATTCATACGTAATAGTAATCGATGGTTGGAGATCTTGAATAACAGGGCTCAAAATCGTTTGCAGTGGCGCAGGTGTATCCATTCTTTGTATTCTCTCGAATCCTAATCTTCTGAATTCCTCATCTCTGTCGTTCTCTTTCTAAATTTATCTCACTGAATTATACTTCTTGAATAATATCTTCGAACCCTAATCTTCTCAATTACCGCTAATACGTCAACCACCTCTACTACTATGGGATTTAAATTGACAATTGCCTCTCTGTGCTTATGTGATATGGCAACTTCAACTGATATACGTACATATGAAGTTCTACTTTGGAGCTGACTGACTGACGTATTTAATATAAATACATTGCACTTACCAAAATATTCTCACTTTTGTGAATTTACTACCTTTAGCATCCTCTAAGAAGGTTATCAGACAAAGTCTAAATTAGCTTCTTCTATGTGATACATTTTTTTATAGGGTTTCATGATGGGAGTCTTCTTTTGGGGCTACGCTTTTACACAGTATCTGGGGGGTTACTTAAGTGATGTGTTTGGTGGAGAAATCGTGATTGCAATCAGTTCTCTTGGTTGGTCTGTACTAACTGTTTGCTTTATATGGCTGCCGAATATCAACTTTGGCTCAGATAATATATATGGCCTTTTTATAATTACTCGCTTTTTATTGGGGATATTCCAAGGTGAGTTTTATTGTCTCATTTCTCACTTTGCGTTCCTGGTATGGTTTTACTTGCCTTCGGGTGGAAGTAGGGTATGCAAGTGTCCAACTTAGCTCATCTGACATACTATTCTGCTCTGTCATAAGAAATAATATGATTTCAAAATCTCTGCAACCGATGCAGTTTATTATCATTTGTCTAAATGCTCCAAATTCTGTTATCCTATTTCCATCATGTCATTATTACGTATTTTCCTGACACCACATGCCTAATCACCTGTCTCTACGCGCAATATTAGCTCGTGTAGAAATAGGTTGTCAGAAAGCGGCCAAGTTAAAACGTGGTACCGGTCAACGAAGTCATTTTATGCTAAACCGAACCACGTGGTGGATTCAATTTATGTTTTTGGAGCACATGAATCATCGTTTATGATCGAATAACATGGTTCAGAGTTGCACAGAGCAATTTAAACAGAATCACTCTTTGTCTTATATAATTTAAATTGTGTGATATTTGTCAGCTAATGTGCTCAATTGTCTATTCTATGTCGAAACAGTTTTATTGTGTCATTTTAATTGTTTACTTATCTTACCACTGCATTTGATTACACTCATACATTTTCATCAAATTATCTTCTTTATTTACAAACTAAACGTTTAGGGTTTTACTATCCAAGCTTAGCAAGTCTAATGGCCAATCGTGTTCAAGTGGCTAATCGAAATTTCACTTTTGCTGTGATAAGTGCTGGTGCACATTTGGGGTACGTATTTATCTGTATTATTCCTGGCAGGGAGCGTATATTTATTTTTTCATGGGTACCACTTTTGGGATTTATAATGTAATAACCTTCAAAACATCATAAACATACTTTATTTCGACTAACTATCAACTATAAACTTTCAGAAAACAGATTAGTATTTACTCAATCAGTTTTAAAAGTGCTTAATTTGATAAAGTTAGACATCCTTATGTCGTCTGTCATTTTTTTCTGAGTGAGCTGAAGCGGGAAAATACGATAGATCAAAATGTTCACTTTGATTCTTTTACTCAAAACACCACGGATTAATAAAATTAGAGTAATTATATGTTAAATGAATATCATTCTGAGCAACTGTCACACTGAATGAAAACATGATAAAAATTGTCAGAATATATTCGAATACCATGTTTAAGTAGTTCATAACTGAAGTTGTCGAAATACAATCAGATGTTATCGTGATCAGTTGTTGTTTTGAATTAATCAGTAATCTTTTAGTCGATTTATATTTCAGTAATACTGATGATCACCATAAGCTTCGTTTTAACCTAAAACTAGTAGTTCATTTCTTTTCATGATTCATGCATGATCTCTCTTTTCGTAATTCTGTTGGTCAGTATGATGCATATTTCCCATGGCAGTGATCGGCTTCATTGTTTTCTGTCTACCTTGCTTTTTCTGCTTTCTTCATGGTTGAAATCAGTAATATCAGATAAGTTTTGCTAACAATACATATCATTCTATTTGTTTAAACGAACTAATATCCCAATCTGTTGACAAATATTTAACCCGATTAATTTTGATAATATTAAATGTATCATCTAGTTGCATTTTCATCTATATATTAAACAAATTAATAGGCTTGTTTGTGCTCTAGTCAAATAATACATTCGATGTGGTATTATATATATGTAGAAAAGTTCGACCCTAAAAGTGTCACATCTAACCTTACCCCAGGGATTTCGGTTTCCGGCTGTAAGGCCACTTGAAAGCGAAGCTAACGCTTTAAAAACTTCCCATATAGAGGCCGTGCGTGACCGGTCCTGTCCTTGTCCCTCGGTCACTGCGGTCACGCTCGCAGGTCGCTCAGGCCATTGCTAACCCAATTTCTTTTTCAGATCCCTCAAGAATAAATACCCTTCCATGAAGGGGGCAACCGGGAAGTGACATCCGCTCTCTTACAACTTGCTTTCAGCCACTCTTTGGTTACCCACGATCTCCAGTCATACAGAATGGCAAATCGACATAAGTCCTTGACTTTAAGGCGGCATTCGTCTCTGTTGATCGAGAACTTAGAATACGCCAATGACGTAATTCTACATGGTAAAAAGGCTAACAAAATTCAGATTCTTCTGACTACCCCAAGCAACAACGGAAGCATGTTTGGGATGTGATTCTCCTCCTCGAAATACAAAATGTTGCTTCAAGACTTGTTTGAATGGGCAAATGAACTAGTGAAAGGGTGTGAAGAAGTTGAGCATGTTGGCCTGCTTCACTTATTTTGGGAATCACATCAGTGCTGATGGTCTGGTGTTAAGATTGTTGGGACATGTGTTGCGTATGCCCAACCGCCGACTGCCTCGACGAGCGATGTTTTGTGTAGGTGTAGGTTGGAGCAAAGCGAAGGGCGGCCAAACCAAAACATGGCAGAAATCTGTGAAGTCACTGACATGTGGATTGATTGATGTTGATAGATGTAGACTACTTAGTTGGGGTCCGCGCGACTATGGTAACCGATGGTTAGAGACCTTGGATGACATGGTTCAAAATTGTTTGCAATGATGCAAGTGCATTCGTTATTCGTCTTCTCTCAAATTCTAGCCTTGTGGATTCCTCATCACCTCTATCTCTCAAAATTTATTTCACTGGATTGTGCTTCTTGAATAATATCTTCGAACCTTAATCGCTCTGGTTACTGCCTATACTTCTACTAATCTGCGATTTGAATTGACAATTGCGTCTCTGTGCCAATGTGGTATAGCAACACGAACTGATGTACTTACGTACGAAGTTCTACATTGTAACTGACTGACTGACAAACTTTTCCTGCGAAAGGTCCGTCGCTCTAATATCCAATCGCAAATATGGTTCAAACCCACAAATCTAAATTAAAAATCAAACACTCATATTTGTGTGCAGCTGGATAATAATATTTCGTTCGAAATTCCTCATGTTTGAGTGTAAATGTACAGCTATTGAATTCATCGTTGCATACTACCCTATTTATTCATTTGCATAATAAAATATTCCTCCGATGTTTTTCAATATTTTCTATCAGTTTAACTATTCAGTAATAGTATGATATACTGACTGCCTTCAGTTAACTAGTTAATACCAAAAAAATCATGTCATGGATTTTGCACGAGATTGAAAAAGCAGTATATAATTGTATTTTATTTTTGACTGGGTAGAAATCGGCAATATTTAGTTCTTAAAATGCATGTAATTGACAAAAATACCTATTTTCCAAGCAAACAGTGACTATAAAATCATACTCTAACCAAATTACTACTAGTGCACATTTTGTGTTCGAATACCTGATTCGAGTTGATACCTTGTAAAAATTGTTGAGTGTAGCTAAACAGCATTCTTCCACTCTAGCTACTAGACCTCTATCTAACTAATTAGTTTCTTCAGTTGGGGAAGCATACAGGTCTGAAACTCGTTAGTGTGAATGTTCTAAATTGTTGGCGATGAGAGGTCGGTTCAAGAGTTTTGTCTTTGTATGCAGCCTCTAATCCCCTGAAGATGCTAAATTTAGAACCAGAACTTTGAGCGAAATTGAACATTGTCTTAGCATAATGCTACAGGAAGTAACTAGTAAATTTCAGAGATTGATAAACTTAAAGCATGAGACTCGCGGTCGAAAACAGTAGCCGGCTACCATACGTCAATGCAATGAATGAGTGAACATGACGATTTCCGCCCAAGAAAAAAAAGAACTCAACACTCATGCCTCTTATCTTGTTGATTCTTTTCCCCTCTTTCTGTATGTGGTGTATCACTTTGCCGTGATACATGCTCTTACCAGGTCCTATGCTTGTAGTGGCTAAATGACTGACTGCATTTTTCAATACATGCACAGTAGTTTTGTGAAGATATTTCTGTATTACAAAGTTAGTATTTAATACGAATTGCTATCATATCGAGAATATTAATGTTATCCAAACAAAGACTAAAGTAATAGTAACCTAGGGAACCAATTTATGGATTATTTTTGTGTTTAGTCATGTTGTTTAATTAAAAACTAACTAGATTATCTAGGTTATGTATTCTTTTTACCATAAGCTTCCCATTAACCCATAAATTATTATTGTATGATTTACTGTCCCTATTTTGTTGCCCATTTATTAATTACAGTTTGGCCCATTCATGTATAATTTTTATTTACTATTTATTGGTGTGGTGCAGTCTGATTTTGTACGTACATAAATGAATATTTGAAATAGCTTAATGATTTTGATCCTGGACTTGTTTCCTTCCTCTACTTTCGGGGTCAGTTAGTTTTGGGCCAAATCAGCTAGCGTAGAGTAACATCTTCCTCATCCTTGTTGCATATTCGTTGCTCATAGGTCATATATGTAATAGCCATTATAAAACATCATTTAGCAGAACAGATTCCTGACTTTAACTGTTCAGATTTGGAAAGAATCAAATGAAGTTTACTAGTCAATAAATGTCAGTTAGTAGAACATAGTTTAGAGCTATTTGAAACTAGGAAATTGTAGACAGTTATTTCATCCTCGTTTGACACTATTTAGCTTTTGAACCCAGGAGAGATCGTATGAATGCTTTGCTTTTGAGGCCAACCATTTAGTAAGTAAAACTATTAGTAATAAGCTATCTGTAAGTGTTAGCATGAATTTCCGTTAATTATCGACTTTCAAAATTTTATCATGCACGAAATTTTCCACCTTACAATTAACAATAAGGAAACAATAAATTATGCATAAAATCAGTGTGAAAGTAATATAGAGAAAAACTAACCTAAGATATGGAATCAGCCACTAAAGCCATTGTGATCTGTCTGATTCGTGTTAGTAGATGCAGACTTCCTGGTCGGATTCTGTGTAATAACTGCGATCAGTGTTAAGAAACTTTAAATGTCCTAGGTCAGAATCGTTGACATTAGCACCAAAGCGTTCACCCTCAATCTCAAATCCCAGCATCCTTTTATACATATCTTTATACCTTATCTTTACAAAACCCTTCCAGGGTTACTACCAGTCCCAAGCCCTAATAAAAGAGGGGGTATTGGGCATGGTGTTAGCGACACCATCCTGTAGAAATCGAACTCACTAAGAATAACGCTAACCAAAAAATTAATTCACTGGTCGGCAGCCTATGCTCCATTAGGTGTAATAGGCCTAAGCAAGCATCTTTGTAAAGCATATTCCCAATGTTTTTTGCTCGGTCTTACTATTGCCACTACATTTCAACCTCTTCTGTTAGTTATTTTCATCGTGTTGCTAACATGCTTTGGGTCAGTCAACACATGCTTTTATTAGCTTCTACATTGGTTATGTCTGACTGATATACATGGACCTACAGACTTGAGCCTTCATCACATTCAAAGGATAAATTTTTTCATTGTCTTAATAAACAATGATGTTTCTTTTCTTATTTAGTGCTTACTGATTTTCTATGAAATGCTTTTCTAATATTATATCCTTGTCTTTTCTTATCATACTAGAACAATCATATGTGGTTCATTGGGTTCCTACTTAGCTGAAAATGATGGGTGGCGTACACCGTTTTTCTGGATCGGACTAATATTTTTTATATGGTCTTTCATTGTCTATTTGATTGTTACACGTAGAACTACGAGATTACACAGACTGCATTTAATCTTGCCTAAAATATTAAAAAGTACATATTTAAGTAATAAGAATATAAAAAGTCAAGAAATTAAATCAGGAGATTATATTGAAATATTAGATGTGGAAGAACCAATGAAGGTTAGTGTAAAAAAATTATTTATCATTAATTCGTTCAATGTTAGTTTTTGGTACCTTATGCAAATTGACTTTTCGTTTTTGAAGAAATAATAAAACTGTGAATTAAACCTGTAAATATTTTCTTCCACTTATTCATTCATTTTGGTCGATCAGTCAGTCAGTCAGTTACAACGTAGAAATTGATACATCATCTGACATGCCTCAATTAACATAGACGTACTGAATTATCAGGCCAAATTGCAGAGTGTTAGAGGTCGTAATAGTATTAGTGCTTGTACAGTCGAATATAAGATTCAAGTGAACATAAATCAGTGGAAAAGGAAACACATTTAGGATAAATTCAGAATGTTAAACTTAGGAGGGGGGGCAAAAATAGCCGCACCCACATCATCTTAAACGATTTTTAGCAATATCACTTGAGACCCTTAACCAATGTTGACAAATATCAGGCGGACCCCAACCACATAGTTTGTAACATATCTCAGTCCAATTGGACTAGTGCAATGTCTTCGTTTGACTTTTCTTTCTTCGTTTGGTTCTTCTATGAATTTGTCATGTCCCTAACCTGTGATTATTTCGCACCTAGCTAATATCATTTCACGCGGTGAATAACCTTCTGAATATCCATATATTAGGTCTCTAAAGTAATTATATCAGAAATTTATATTCATCCCTACTCTTATTGTAGCTTTTTGTGCACCTGTCATGTGGATCTGTCATGCTTTGGATTTTTAATTTCTTTTATAGCCTTCAGAATCAGAATTTGTGTACATAAACTCAAAAACTGTCAGTAAAGAGTGTCTGTCTAGTGTACCCTTACGACCCCTAAATTGGTCTCTTCTTCTCAGACATAAAGCATTTTGGTAAGCTTATAGTCTTTTCAAGTTATATTTTATACATTGTCCGTTTCATTTTACGTAGTTATGAAATGGGAATTTATGATCCGAGTTTGATGTGTGATATACTGTAATAATGTTTACACAAAATCAACATTATCCTTTTAAAATAATTCACGGCATTGGTTTCTCAAATATTAGACGTTTTTAAATGGACTGAGACAAATATATGATGACAAGAAAATCCTCTTGTGGCAATCATAGAGTAATCAGTTTGGCTAAATAATGTCCAAAATATTGGCTTCACTAATTCGAAGCTTCGAAAGATTGAGCGTGATAAAACCAGTTTTGTTCCAGACCTGGATGTGGATATATAAACCGAATATTCACACTTCATCTAGTTCTTGAGCCTAAATTCCAACCTTCGATAGTATTTATGTGCTGTGACTCTGAAGCGGATTTCTATTCTTGATCATGTAGTTCTCTGGCTGCGTCTGTCATTGGAAGGTGTCTTTAAAATGTACATTAATCTTATGCAGAATCTCTACTTGAACATTACTGACAGAGTCAATGACTATGGTGAATTTTCATCGGAATTGATTAGTTCAAGTGCTGTTCATCAGGGTTGTCCGTTTTCTCCGTTAATATTTAACTTTGTAATAGACTTGCTTTTACAGGTAACACTTTCCTCGTCTGATTTTTCAGGAGTGGACCTTTCACCAACGCAAAATGTTGCTTCGGCGCCTGAAACAGTGAAAAGGAGTGAATTAGTTGATCATGTAGACCACTGCACTTGTCTCGATAGTCTCATCGGTGCTGATGGCCTGCTGTCCGACGAAATCTCGACATGGCTACTGAAGGCACCATCGGCTTTTGCCAACTTGTGTCACTTGTGGCATAGGCAAGATATCTGTCTGTTAACCAAAAGACAAGTTTACTGTGCAGCGATTCGCTCTGCCATTTGGAAGAGATGATAGTCACAGACTACTAGTATTCGATCACAGTTGTTGTCGAAGCATTACTGTTGTATTCTAGGACCACGGAATAAGCAGTACTTGTGTTTAGACGCAGCAATAAGCATCAGTAAGCGATACTAATAAACGCCCACACAAATCGGTTTAAAAAGTAAATCTAGGGTTATCCGTGTCTTTACCTAGGTACCCTATATTCATAGAAAAACCAATTAGGATGAATTAAAATTGTGTATTTTAATAATAAAGACAGATCAAGCGTTTCATTAAAGACAATTCTAAATAAAATGTGATTATCCTTAGAAAGAACAAACCTTCAACTTCTCACTGCAAGCATCTAAACTCATTTTCTCAGTAAACGTAATATGCCTGGTCAGTAATCGGCACTTGCTTAAGTTGTTTACAAACAATATTTCTTGCTATTTACTATTCCGACTATTAAGCTCTTTACTCAGGTAAGCATATATTAGCGAGTATGGTTCTTCATAAAACTTACGTACTATCATTGTAAATACTCTATCGGCCTAATAACTAACTGCACCAAAAGACGAGCAGTTCACTTCGTCGATGTGGAACATGGCCATTAAGGAGAAATGATATTCACAGACTACTAGTATTCGACTACAGGTTTCGTCGAAGCATTATTCGTGTATTCTGGAACCACCGAGTAAGCAATAGAGAGGAAAAGTCGAATGGTGAAGAAGTGAGTTTTCATCAGCTGCGGTGGTTAGGACATATATTACTTATGCACAACCACCACCCACATCGACGAGCAGCGTTGTCTGGTGTAGTAGTAGTAGTAGTAGGCTGGAAACAAGCTATGGGCAGTCAAACGAAGAGATTGCACTAGTCCAATTGGACTGAGATATGTTACAAACTATGTGGTTGGGGTCCGCCTGATATTTGTCAACATTGGTTAAGGGTCTCAAGTGATATTGCTAAAAATCGTTTAAGATGATGTGGGTGCGGCTATTTTTGCCCCCCCTCCTAAGTTTAACATTCTGAATTTATCCTAAATGTGTTTCCTTTTCCACTGATTTATGTTCACTTGAATCTTATTTTCGATTGCTCAAGCACTAATACTACTAGGACCTCTAGTACTCTGTAATTTGGCCTGATAATTCAGTCCTATGTTAATTGAGGCGTATCAGATGATCTATATATGTACCAAGTTCTGCCTTGTAAGTGGCTCAGTAAGTTACCGAATGAAACTATTTAGTAGATTCAGAACTATTTTCTACAGGTTTTAGATAATTAACGTTCAGATTGGTTGATCATTTTTTTCATTGTATCTTCCTTCAAAGCGTTACTTCTCCATTCTACAGTGTTTGTAAGCTATATGATAGAGTTGATTTTTCGTGCGAATGTAGCTCTCATTTTTAGCGTTTAAGTGATTCGACCGATAGCATATTTAAATTCCACATTAGTTTATGTCCATGTATGAATTACCTTGTTTCTCTATCTCATTCTTGCTTTACTATTGCTTTATTTTGGCATGCAAGTTGAAATGATATTTCTGGACACTTTATAATTTGCCTTACATCGGGACAGTGATTTTGAAAATCTTTCACTTGTTTGGGATGAAGGCTACATTTATTGCCCTATCAATCTGTATTGTTTTTCCAAAAAGAACAGTACAGAGTTTATTGGAGTGTAATTAACACTTCTTTTGGGCGAAATCCATGTAACATTTTATTTTATAATCACACCACCTGAAGTGCAACATATGGATCTCCACCTACAAAAACATTATGAGACATGTAATAAGTCCCATCACTTATATGTTGTAAAACCATGTTTATTTTCATTGATTTCACCACATAAAAATTTTTACGAAATAAACTACCTTAATATCTTTGTGTCACACAAGTTATTAAATTTGTGAATGTGCTGGGATACTGTCCACCTGCCTAAACTGTCCTCGAGCCTTTACCCAAAAGTCTAATCCACAAGGCAGTGGAGGAAATTCAAGAGATGCAATCACTTGTTGGCCGTTGACCAATAATTGGTTCATTGGAAATTTGTTCCATCAGAATTCTGAAGACCATGCTCATCACTTGTTTGTAATCAGGGTTATCTATTTCCCCTAAGTGCATTCTTCGTACTCATGAACCTGGTACAGATATCGGACATTGGCCTTTCATCCCCTGGATTTCGTAAACAATACATTTGTATTGAGAAAGTATTCATTGGCTGTACACGCTTGACTGCGATTAACAGATAGTTCTTTTTTGCTTATTGATTTGTCTAGATAATTGCTTTAAGGACAAAATATGGTATTGCTTGGGTCCTAGGTGCTCTACTACATAAAATGCCGATCACACCTTACCATATATGAGTAAATGTAGATTGAATAGATTATTGTCAACGTATATCCATCCCCATTTGATAGTATTAACCTCTAACTTCCTTTTCGAGCACTACTGGATCACTTGATTGTGCTCTATTCTGATGCAGATTGTATATATTTTTCAATCTCAATCGCAAATATCATTTATGTAGACTGAAAAGAGCGGAGGACGTAATACACTGCCTTGTATTACTGCACTTTTAGAACAATGACTTATTGACAGACGCCTTTTACATTGATTTTTCAGCTGTTTAAGTGTTTTTATTGTTCATATTATTTTGTGAGGTACTGTTATTAATGTTATTTATTTCCGTTCCTGTTACCTATCAACAACTTGATACTTTCTACAGGTGTATATCCGTTTTCGATCTTTGTCATTCATCACTTTTTTGCTTATGTAACCGTATTTTATTAGTAAAACGACCAACATCCAACTATATTGTTATTTTCCTTTCAATTTTTTTTCACAGGGTTATGCTATTGGCTAATTTTGTTCATAATAATACATTTTATATTATTCTCAACTGGTGCCCTTCTTATTTCCACGATAATTATCCAGATGCAAGGGTGAGATATTAATTTTTTGATGTTTGAAAAGTTTTTGATTTTACTAGTTGCTTTCTTGCGCACTGTTAACTTTTGAAAGTACATAGTTGGCTTTTGTGCCTGATACCAGTGTGAGATTTTGATTTTATTGCTTACTTTATGAACGAGCAAATCGGTTAAGTGTTTATGTTGTGTGCAATACACCAAATATTTGTGCATTCTATTTCTCACTTACAAAATTCAGGATTATGTTTCTGATTTACTTAGTTTTAAGTTATAGATTGAAGTCTTCTGATACACGTGTTTGGATTAATTTTCAGCTGCTAAAAACTTCATTAATTGTGCTGCACATAAATTTTTAATTAGAGTTGACATACAGCTGGGCACTAAATGACTTTTTACTAGCTTGATATATACCTCTAAGTCCACTGAACACCTGTTCTTCTGATTTAGTAATTCAACTCTCTATTTTACTACATAACAAGCTTTTCTGTAAATATGTTTCTTTCACTTGAGATTGCTATTGTTTTCTGTCATATTGTTCTTTCTTGAATCTTATACAGAATATCAACAATATTCCATTCCTTCTGATGACGCTTCTCGTTTCCCTAAGCGTCATGGCATGTTGAAATAAATGTTCCTTCTTGCTTTCATTGGAGACATTCATTGCGTTATTCAAACGCGCTACGGCCTAAAATCTTAGTACATTGTCAAATTTTACTTAATATCCTGTTAGATTCAGTGTAGCTGGTCTATTCAAAAGTTCTTCGAAATGCTCCACCAACCTGTTTTTCTGTTCTTGAATGCACGAGATTGATTTGCCTTTCTTGTTATTCACTGGTCGCTTAGGTTTACCATACATTCCAGCTAGCTTTTCCGTTGTATGATATATTTGTCTTATGTTTACTATTCTTTGAGATCGTGTCAGACTTACAACTTATTGCTCAGAGCTATCTTGAGTTCACTGAGTTTGTTAGTATCACGAATAAAGCTGTATTATAATATTGGGTGCCGTTTATCCAGTTGTCCACTGCGTTTTTAGCATCACCTCTTGAACATCCCCAGCGATTGATCTGAATAGATATCAGCTCATCTCTTTTCTCTCACGTCTTCTGTGGTTCTTCTAAACCTACAATTGATTCAGGTGTGAATAATTTAGTTCCCGATAGTTTGTTCCAGCGGAATGCATGTAGCATGTGTATGCCAGATGTACTTACATACGAAGTTCTACGTTGCATCTGACTGACTGACTGTGTATGCATTTGTAGCGGAATAGAGTTTCACCTATAATAATTTTGTTAAAGGCACATAGATTTAAAAATAACTCAGCATTTTCGTTTTTTCTCCTATTCATTGTTATCTTACAGTTTCTTCATATCCGACATTATCCATTCCACCTTTGACGTTTAGGACTTCAGTCCTTTTGTGAACTGATCTTTCTTGACTTCGTTTATATCGTTGATGGGCTCCTGGAAGACATTTTTATAATACTATCTGTTTTGTCTTAAAGTATGCTTTAATACTCAATGAAATTTCCACACTATGGAAAAAGTTATACTAGGTTGTTCAACCTGATAACTGAAGCAACGAATTAGTGAACACTACACTTTGTGGATAGAAAAGACAGTGACGAAAACAATATGCAGCTTAGTTCTTTCACAGTTGATTGATGGCGGTCATCTAGATAAGAATAAATCATTTAAAGTAATATATCGTATACCAACTGGTTTTCCTTATGGGGTTCGATCTCCTCTCTTACACCTAGCAAAAGCTGTGGCTATTTAAGCTAACAATCGAAGTCTTTGTGTTCACAAGAAATTTGTAACACTTCTACACCTCTCCCTTGACCGGATCGTCTTCAACAAACGATTCTGTTTGTTTATTTATTTATTATCGTGGTTTTTTTTAACTCTCTGTCTATTCGCTCGATTTTCATCAGCCCGACATTTTTTTTCTCTTCAAGTATACGCTTCATGATCCAGTTATCTAAATACTTATTACATAATCAATAGTCCTAATCGCTGTTATTTCAGTATCGAGTTTTTCAAGTCTTTGACCTACATCGTTGTATGAAACATGAATCTATGTCTTTATCGTTCTCATCACAAGCAGTACGTACTTTCTGTCTATTTACATGTTTTATTCTACTGTTATCACTGCCTCATAAACTCTTGATAGTGTTTATAATTGAAAGCAATATTGTTCGCTGATATATGTTGTTTTGATTCGCAATGTTTGTTTGTTTAAAATGTAAAGCAGCTGAATTAACTTATGATTTTCTTGCGTTAAAGAAGTTTATCAAAGGAACTAGTGATATAATTGTTCATTTCGATTGTGTTTACAGAGTAATCTTTGTCTCTGTTAGTAATATTCTTATTAGAACTCATTTGGATTGGCTTCCAGAAAGTTCAACAAAGCCGAAGTGATTCCATCTGATCCTAAAACGATGGCATTTCGAGAATATCGACGTGATTGGATAATTGCGTAGCATAACGGTTTCAGATTGGACTATTGTTATTTGTTTTCAGCCTATACGAAATACTACAAATAAGCATGATCTCCATGTACATTTCGAAACTTACTGGAGTAAAAGGTTTCTTCGGGCTTCTGATTTGCTTCCTGAGGGTTGTGGCCAGTTATACTAATTCTAGTGTTAAAGATTGTATTGTGTATTAGCATTATCTAGGAGCAGACTTACGGATTGTATATTTTTTTCTTTCAGAGTTGGGTTTTCAATATGGTTCCATGGTTAATCATATTTCCATCTGTATTAATAGCTGGTGCTTTAGCTGATCATTGGATGAAAACTGGTAATTATGTAATTATTTTTTATTATTTGTTAAAATGAAAATAAGTTTGCTAGTTTCTCCACTTAAGTACAAATAATATTCACTATTCTCGCTTGCATAAATTATGAGGTTTCTATGTAATACAATCCTCCATGCTTTTCCGAATTAATTTCGATTCATATCCACCTTTAATTTATATCAGTAAAGATACGGTCTAAGAATGATATATGCAATGGAAAAAAGTATTTTCTCCCTTCACTTCATTTACACCTTGAAATATAATAATAAATGAAAGCTGAAGAGTACATAACACTAAAGTAATCACACCTTTCTAAGATTACCAAACTCAACCAGTGAGAATCATTGTACGACCTTGTGCAAATGTGTATTAGTTCAGTTCCCAGTGCCACAGTCACATAAGATGGAATTAACAAAGTGAATTTCGAGGGAATTAGAATAATATAGTCGCTATGGTAACGAAAAGGACCGAACATCAAGAGTGTGATTGCGCATGTACTCTAACTAGGTAGCCTGTATCTGTAAATATGACTTATACCAACAGCCATTGATTTCGTAAACGTATACCTTATATTGATTTGGTTGGTCCTAGCTCTCTTCTAACCTACTGCTACAGTTGTAAATATTATCTGTCTAGATGGTCTATAGTTGTTCATACATATAACATGCCATGAATAATTCAGTCTACAAACTAATTTGGCACCTTACCTAATACTCTATTTCTAATTCCAACGTTGCTTACTCGGTCTTTCCACGAAGTTCGTGCAATACTTCGAAGTCTCTCAATTTCGAATCCTTCAGTCTACTCATGTTTCTCGCTTTCATACATCTTGTTTCATGTTGATATACTTGTGCAGTAATGCAGAGCGACTTTCAGACAGCCTTTCGGTTGACAGATGGACACCACATCCACTTCATAAGTGAAACAAACTTGCAATATTCAAACTCATCAAGGCTGAAAAGACTTGCGAGTTAAGTGATTGATCTCCTAACTACTACACTCTTCATAATTGGTTTAGGCGTTGACGCAGACTGTTACTGAATCATCATGTTACAGCCACTCCTAAACGACTATATACAGATTTACGAATGAATTAATTAGTACCAAATCAACAGATATTTATATTTAAACCTTTTATGCATGTAAATATTCAGTCAGTTATTGTATTACAAACCATATCAATTTATTTACATATACGTTCGTTTTCCAAATTTTAGGTGTTTCCGTCACATTAGTGCGAAAAAGAATTACCGTGAGTTCGTACACATATTGCCGTAGTTTCTCATTCTCTTTTACCGGTTCTTGATGTTGAAAAACTGACTAAGTTAGCGTTCACCATAAACAAGAATACTCACTGGAAACCAGAACGAGAAAGCACTTATTTGCCGCTAATATTTTATGCCACAAACATCTAATTAAAATAGAGTTATATTGTTTACTAATGACCTACTTACATTCTCACACTGTATCAATGAGTGACTGTAACTTGTGAAATCAACCAAGTTGTGGCTGAGACTTTAACTCACTTGTGGTATATTAACAATTTACTAAATTTAAATATTCAAGCCATTTGAATCACAGTAAATTATGTCACAATTTCGATATGTTGTGATATTAATTCGATATTGATGTATGCATATGCAATCCTGAATGTTCTAAAACATGAACTTATCGAATGCCTTGCTCTCTCTTGTTGTAATTGGTTTTTCAAAGGAAATTAGTTTATGGTAATAAGTATAAAAGAGACTAAATTAGAATCGTATATTATGTTTCGGATATTCAGTTACAAATTATTTAGAATTATAATGTAGCATAGCAATGTTGTTAGTGGTAACTATCAGGCCAAAATTGTAGTTCAGAGTTTAGTATATGAACTTGTTAATTATATTGATTATAATAACTTTGATTTTCAATTAACTTCGCTGTGCTAACAATTTTAAGTAAACTAATTCAAAAGTAATTCTTACTGCTTAAGTTTAAATTATTTTTCTGTTAACTGCAATGATGTTACTAATCTAGACTAGGTGACCTTAAAAAATATAAAACATTCTAGACTATTAATCTCAGCTCAACTGTCTAAAGCTCAAGCATCTAAGGTAAAATCTGAACGTCCTAAGTTTTGTCATTGGTGAGGTCCTGGATCCAAAATACAGAGGTGTTCCATACTTGAATGAAGCATATTGGTACTTATACTACAGACTGATCATTTCATTTTAACAATTGATTTCTTTGTTTTTGGGTTTTTTGCTTGATTCTCGAATAATATGCTTGCCAATTTTGTTTTTATATTTTACAGACAGTTGTTCTTTTGGGTTCATCTTTATTCCTTATTATCTTATCATCTCTGGATAATTATTATTCATCATTAATTTGTATGGCTTTCGCATTAGCCTGTTTAGGTTTTCATTGCAGTGGCGTTCTGTTAAATCCTCAAGATATGGCTCCAGATCATAGTGGTCAGTTATACGGTAGGTTTTGTTCGCCCGTACAATCTCGCTGTAGACAATATGTATAGATTACTCTTATTCAGTATATAAATGTTCATACATTTTTTTTATTGCAATTATTTCATCGTCCATTTGCAACTGTTTTAAGCTGTTAGCCTTGTAGTTAATAAATCATTTTCATAGTGCATTTAAACTGAACTGCGTACCGTTGAAAAAACCAACAAGTATTTGACGTCTGTCTCATTCATTTTGTTCACTTGATTATCATGAAAAGAGTGACTTATATAATGTTCTAAAAACAAAAATTGTTCAAAAGTTCACCTTCTTATAACAGTAATTAGGATTATGCATCATTACGATGGAGTAGTGAAATCAACGAAAAATCTTGTGAATAAATACAGTCAGTATATGAGAAAAGATTCTGGATCAACAAACGAACATTACTTGGAGTCCACTTAAAAGCTTGATTTTTTCGTACATAGATGTGTCTTCCTAGTGTACAACTTTCTGATGTAATCGCCCTTATCAAGGAACGAACCCGAACTCTTATTTGTGCCGTAATTTCCAAACCGTTAACTCGTAACTAAATGGTCCACGTTATCAAATTCAACATTCATAAATCTGAGTTAGAGAAAAAAAACATTTAATTTCTGAATATTTTATTGCTGTTGATATCTTATTCACAACAGGTATTATGGCTACAGTTGGCACATTTCCAGGATTTGCAGGTGTCTACATGGTTGGTTATATATTAGAAACTACGAATCAATGGTCAGTGATTTTTATGCTCACTTCTATCATCAGTCTAGTAGGTTGGGTAGGCTATATATTATATGGTTCGTCAGAAATTCTTTTTTAAGTCATCATTTTCTTGATTATTTGTGATAAAATATGCTCAAGTTTTTTTTCTTTTTTTCGAAAAACCAATAGTAATTTTGAATCGATACTTCTTTTCCTTCATTCCATTCACATATCAAGTGTGTGTGTACACTTAGGCAAAGAATTTTTGATGATACACTTTATATCTTAGAGATATTTTCAGTAATTATATATATACATATTTAATTATTTTTTGGATATGAAATTTTCTATCACATTTAGATTAGAGGACAAATACTAATGCGTTTTCTTTGTTTTTGTGTGTTATTTTTTATTATTAACAAATTCTGACACATTTTTTTCCACGAAAATAAACTCTGTGCCTGTTTGTTTTTGTGCGCATGTGATACACGCGATATTGAATTTATTCACTGAGTTCGAAACTATGATTTCTAAATTTCCTAGATAAAATTGTTGCATATAAATTTGTTTTTGCTTAGAAGATAATTTCTTTCACAGATCGTAATAAGTACTTTTCGGTAATAAAAGATATTGCATGCCTATTAATATTCTTTTTCATTTTTATAAAAAGAAGAAAAGAAAAACTGCTTAAATCAATCTTTTCTGTTAATTTTCTCACCATTATAGTCTTCTCTAGGTATATTGTTACTGTCTGTACAACTTCAATGGATTATTTTTCTTATACACTGATATTTTCTCATGCATACTTATAGCATTGTATGCATTCTTTTGAAAGTTCTACTTTTGTAGATTTCTGTTGTGTAACATGATTTTCCGCATAGGCTTTCATTGTTAACTAATTAAACATTTTCAATGTTTATGCTATTCTTTTTGATGATTAGCAGTACCTCATCTTTTTCATTGTTACATAAAACTCAATATTTATATGCCCTACTTGTTTTGCGTTGAGTGTAAACTAATAAGACCATTCGAGTTCAATGTGTATATTGAGCAGTGGATTAGACCGTTTTTTCAAAAGTACTTCTCTAGTTGTTACATACATTGTATATGTTTTTCATTAGTGTACTGCTATACTACCTTCATGCGTTGATTAGTTGTTTTATTTTATTTCTTAGAAAAATACCTTAATTGTTTTTATAAACTTCGGTTCTTCACTTTTTTTGTTGTCATAATGATTCTATTTTTCTCTACTTATGCAATGCCTGTAGGGATAAACGGCATATTTTGTAATTTCTTCCTCGTAATATGTATTTTCTACTTCAAAATGTTTTGTAATACTTGTATAATGACTTTTCCATCTACTTATTTTAGCAAACGTTTTTGGTGACCAGTCTTGATACAACCAGAGGCTGTTTTATTCAAAGGGAACTACACAATCTTATTTTTGAAGGTAACAGTAGGACAGCGCTAACTGATGCGCAGTATACTGGTCCTTTAGTCAGCAAACAGATATCTCGCCTATGCCATAAGGGACGCAGGTTGGCAAAAGCAAACCAAGCTTTCTGTGTCCGTGCTAAGATTTCGTCAGTCACCAGGCCATCAGCACTGATAAGACTCCCGAGATAATTGAAGCGGTATACTCGCTCAACTGCCTCACTCCCTATCATTAGTTCAAGTGCCGACACAAGCTAATCCTGAAGCTGGATTTTCCATTTGAACGGGGAGAATCGCATCCCAAACATGCTGTATTGTGTCTTAGGGCAGTCAGGAGACTGCATTTTGCCATCATCCCCACCAAATGTAAATATATATATCTAAATCAACCAAAGAATCTCCTGGTATAAGGTCTGCTCCTGAAAGTTCAGACGAAAATAATGTTATATCTGGAAGCATTCTATGACAACATTAAAGAAGAATAGAGAGTGGACATCCCTGATGGATAACGCTTGAAGTAAACAATTCCAACTGGTAGTATTCAAGTAGAGAGCTTTTATAAGGTTGATGTTTTTTTTTTGCACACCTTTCAATGACAGACACTGCCACAGAACCTCATGATCGACAGAGTCAAACACCGCCTTAAGGTCAAGGAATACAATTATTGTCCGATGCCTAAAGGTGTCTGTATTTCAGGACCTGTCGTAGCGTGAAAATATGCTCTATACATCCACGTCTAAGTCTGAAACCATCTTGGTTTCTCGAGTCTGCTCTTCACGAGTTCTAGTTAGGCGTCTGAGTATAATGAAGAATAACAATTTAGAAACTATATAAGTTAGACTGATTCCCCTTTGATTGTCGCAACCGGACCTTTGTTCTTTCTCACAAATTAGGACATTTATTGATTAAGACCATTTGGATGGGATTATGTCAAGTTCGCGATCATTGCGTAGGCGTTTTATCGGTTCTAAGTTAATTAGAAACTGCGATTCAGTAAACCGATTCGATTATATTAACATTAAATACCATATAATAATGAATTACTATTTCTTTAGACAGAGGATTTACTTCATCACTATATATATATATTACAACTTACTGTTAAACAGGAGTTTCTAATATTTTATAAATTACAGTCTGTCGCCCACTTGTTCATTATGATTTTACCGACATGTGATTTAAAACCTTGGGGTAAATTCACTAATATATAACGATTTCTTTAACAGAATAATTCCCATTTTCTAGAAAGCTTCCAGTTACTATCATCAACAGCATTCCATTGAAAATTTTACTGACACACTTAAATGCAAGCGTTTATTCTTGAAAATATATCACTGAATTATCTAATCACTAACAAAAATTTCTTGGTGTGCTTCACTCATCTCACTGTAGTTCAAGTTACTTTCTTGTGTTTACGTCATTCGATCAGTTGATCACCCATAATGCTTATTTTAGTATAGCTTATTTATATCCAATTTTATTAAAGAACTGTGGTTGAGAAAAAAACAGATATTTCCTAAAAATATTACATATCATGCTATAAATTACTTTTAAAGGACTTCAGACTTCATAACTTCGTTTATAAATATAAAAATTCCATCACAAGTAATATTGTTCTGTTATTTATGAAATTTTGTTGGTTACTTATGCACTACTGATCATTACGTTCAAATCGAGTTTAATTCCTACCGTCAGCATAAAAGCAAACTCATTTGTTCAATGGTTTACGTAGGAAAACAAGCACATAACCAAACAAATAAACATAATTCTAAGGGGCAGAAATGTTAAAACTGTCAACAAAAGGTGATTGACGTAGATAACTGCTCAGCCATGTTCGAAAGATACTACAAAAAAAGTTATGTTCACGTTTCCGTGCTTCAAGTTAGCATCAGACGGAAGAACAGTTGAATAAATTCAGATCACAGCTTTTGCTATTCCAATTTAAGGCGAATCTTACTCAGGCAATAACTTACTCTTTTTATTGCATTCTGAGTTAAACTCTCCAGCCTTAGCAGTCGTTTCCGCAGCTTTCGAATGTCGAAGAATCAGACGTTATTTTCAGTTAATATATCAGTGAGTACCTAAGGAGCACACATACTAATGTGAAAATTGAAATAATAAAAGTAATATGACTATAGCTCACATATTCTCCATACAATTTACGTGGTTTAGTGACTATCATTATCATATAAAGAAACATTTCTGTTTATGATAATAGTACATGTAATCGTAAATAATAATTTTTTAACGTCTTGATAAACCGATTATTACAGATATTTTATGAAAAATTTAAGTGCAAATGTAACGCTGGTATTACTAAAAGTTTCAGTCGCTGAGATTATTTTGAAGTGTAATATTGAAAAATTCTAAGTTTTACATACTGAGTGCCCAGTTTTTGTCGTTCGTTCAAATATCGATGAATATTCATATAAGTACCAAACAATCTCAATTTAAACAGTTAAAATAATTGGCTTTTGAAAGTTTGATCAAAATACGGTACAGAAGTTAAGCTTTTCAAGCTCTATGATTACATCTCATTAAATTTAATTATTCACCTTATCTATGAGTCAATATGGACTATCTGTGTGATTTTAATTTTCTTTTAGACATTATGTTAATAAATTTTATAGAGTCTAAGTGTTCACATCTATTTTTTAACGGTTGGTTCAGACTATGAGACTGTTGGTAGGAACAACAATTGATGCTTTAATCTACTTATTGATATTCCTATTGCTGATAATTTGTGTATATTGTTTAACGCGAGTGTACCTATTGTGTTTACATGAACTAATAGAAATTATTTTGTTTATAATCGTATTCGTTTCTCACGACGAACGCATATGTCATTCCTTGTTTTGTATATATCTTGAATCTCTGTTTGAACGCGACAGTTTCCATTTCCCTGTGCATCTATTTCCCCTTTCGGTTGTTGCTGTTGTTGTTGATAATCTATCGTTAATATCAGACAGCTGTAATTTACTTCATTGTCTTAATTGCTTTCGATGTCGTCATTACAAAAAACGTTTCTCCATATTGACCTAAAGACGCGGTAACCAACACGGATACCTCGTGAGCCAAGGTTTGCAACAGATCCATATAAAGTTTTTGAAAATAGATACGTTCTGACAAATTGTAGTTTTTGTCGTCGTCTTGCACCCCAGTCACACACATTCGCTGTACATATTCTTTCCCATTCTACTTAGGCTTTATGTACTGCTCCAAACTGCCTGTTAATATTACTTTTTACAGATGTCAGAGGATAAGATAAGATTGTAGTGAACTGGGACTACTAACTGCGAGATAACCAAGTTTACTTCCGTTAAGGCCAGAAAACAACAGTCCATCTGTGACTAGAGGACGAGGTGTATTGATTGATGTTCTCGTGGTGTCGAAAATATATAGAGACAGTTAAACCACCACGGATAGAAATCACCAAGTCACTCGAGCAACGTTAGAAAAACGTTAAGCCCGTGGATGTTATTACAGTTCAACAACAGGAATAATAAAACAGTCATTGTTGCAATTGTGTACACTAATAAATGTTTCCATTTAACCACTTGCGTTCTCCTCGTACAAACAATGCACTTCAGCAGTCCCCCCCCAGAAAGAGTTTACACTTTCGATTCGTAGAAATGCCGTTTGTGGGTGGGGAAACGATGATCCAACGTTTGACTGTAGGGCGGA